TCAGAGTTGCGCTCTGTCGCTTTTCCCCTCCTCATTGGAACTCAATAAAGAAGTGCACTTTGCAAAGTGTATCTGCAAGAAAACAGACAAGTAGTGCGTTCACATCTCAATCTTTGTCACACACACTGCTAAGACAAACGGCTAATTAAACAACAGCCACTTTTTGGCTTTGTGTTGCTCTCTGGTCAGCTTGCATTAAAACACAAGTTATATACACTGACATTACAGCAAATAGTTTCAAATAGGGCAAGTGATATAGTTCAAATCAGCCTTTTAAGAAAGAGGATTCTATTAAATGATATTGCTGTCAAACTTTTTAAGCTCTAAAATCTCAACAGTACTTCCCATAGTTTGGCCTTTTATCTAGGGTACAATAGTAATTACATTTAAGTACAGTAGTAACTAATTACATTTGGATTAACTGTTTATTTTACGAGAATGCAATCATAAACTAACTATTAGTGATTATCCGAGCAGAGCAACATTCCATATAAAGCAATTTACCTCTGATATGATCTCCTGCACTGGGAGACTCCAAAGATTTCCATCTTTTGGGGGCAGATTCTAAAAGGGAGAGATCACCTGGCCTCAGAGTCTGCAGCACAGTCTTCCTCCTCAGAAATCTGAACAAGAGTTAAGGAGAAAAAAGACCCCAAAACATAATGCAAATCAAATTCAAACAATGAACAATAACATAAAGGATACTGTTGCCGAAAGTGACGCTCAGCATCGTGCAGCCACCCCATCATGTCGGACACTGAGGGTCCGGTGGCAGATCGCTCCGTCACAGTGAGCAGATCCAGAATGTCTGTGTTCTGCTCGTAAAGATGGACCACCGCGGAGACCTGGTTACTGATGGAATCTCTGACAGACTGTAGAGAAGACCTGTGAGAAAAGGGATGGATCATTATTATTCTCGGGTTACATGTGTCACAACCCCAAACCTGGTTTTAAACCCCTTATTACTTTTTAGCTGTTATACTGCATTTCATCTTTTATTATAAGTAAATATGCAACAGTAGTACTGTTTTTGTATGGGAATCTGGGAGGAATACCTGCCATTAAAGAGCAGAAACTCTCTAACTCAGATCTTAAAGGGGTCTAGCAGACTGATGGGTGAGCCACAGCTAAACCTGGAGACCCTGTACCTCCGACAGTTACAGCCGTTGTCAGTGGTGTAAAGTAACTAGTAGATTAACTCAAGTACTGTACTTGTGTAACATTAATTCTACTCCACTACAATTCTAAGGTGAATCGTGTACTTTGACACCACTACATTTATTTAATACCTTACTTTACAGATTTGGATTAATGATGTGAAATATAATCAACTCTTAAATCAGACTTTAGTTCCACCTGGAGTAAATTAACAAGCTACCCTGCAGTATACAAAGTCATTCAAACTAGCTGCACCTTTACCAGCTTTGAGAACACTTTCATGATCAATCATTATAATCAAAACATATAATACATATTATTCTGAAAGAGGCAGATCTGCATAATGAGTACTTTTACCTTTGGTACTTTACGTATATTTAGATGCTTTACTTTTGTACTTTAACTTGAGTAATATTTTGAATGTAGGACTTTTACTTGTAACAGAGTACAACACTCTGGTACTTCTACTTTTACTCAAGTACAAGATCTGAGTACTTCTACCACCTCTGGCGGTGGTCCAGCTCTATATTGATGACTCCCAACCTCTGCACTCAGAATTTAAGCTTCCTCCTTCGGGCCAGAGGTTAGTTGTCCCAAAGTGTAGAACAAAGCGGTATAAAACAGCTTTATTCCGGCAGCCATCGCACAAAGGAATAAGTCGTAGCAGTGTCACACAGATGCCTATTTATTAATTTATTAACTTCTAATGCCAATGTTTTTACTACTGACCTTTGTTTTTAGATGTGACAAAACAGGGTGTACTTTTACTAGAGATTTGTCTGTTTCTGTGTTGTTTTAGGATATGTGTCAGGATGTTGTCTTTATATCTGCAACCTAAATCTACCTACGGGTACCAATAGATAACCTGATCCTGATACCAATAACTATGAGTGACATCCCTCAGAATAGGTAAGCATCACATAAAATGAGTGGCATGCCATCAGCTACGTTTCAGCCTCTCTGACTTGGAGGTCCTTGCTGACTACGGTCTTTATTTGTGTTGCACAATTTACCCAGTCACTTACATATTCTCGTTGAGTTTTCCCAGCACTGTATCCGTGGATAATTCGAGCTTGAAACGCAGCCGCTCCTCCAGGTCAGGAAAGTCTCTGAGCGGTGTGTTGGAGATTTGGATGTTCGAAAGCGCTCGGGACTGCACCGCCAAGTTACCTAGAGACGCCATCGGGGGGCTGCATTCGGCCAACACACTCTCCCATACTTTCTGGTTGTTTTCAAGATTCTGGAAGCATTTCCACAATGCTTGATGGAGTGAAAGTAGCGCAGGTTTGGACATTTCAGGTGTTGATTTAAGACAACAGTTGACCACAACATTTAAATGTAAAATGAACAGATCCTAAAATGATGTTAGCCCGTTTCGGATTGACGTGCTCCTTGAATATGATATGTATAACCCTTAAAATTAAGGCAACATTAGCTGCTAGGTCAAATCACATTTCTACCCGTGTTTCTACCATGCCTGTATCCATTTCCGTCCTGCTGATGTAAACACTGACGTTTGCTGCTGTGATTGGTCGAGAACCATTTTTCATGACGCAAAGCATACACGAATTTTAATTGGCTGACTTGACACCTGGCCCCTCCTCCCGCCGCGCACAAGGAGTCGCGCAGACATTTAAAAACGGCTGTGTGAAGAAGGATGAGAGACGAAGAGGAACACTATCAGATGAGAGACAAGTAATTATAAAACGAGGTCGCTATGACCAAAACGGATTATTAAGAGGGTTGTTATCAAATGTTTGTGCGTGGGAAAGAAGCTGACAATTAAGGAAGTCTGCCAAATTGCGAGGTAACCGAGTAACCTCGCTAACTAAGTAACACAACAAGTGACGTTATCATAGCGGTTTATTATATTTATTTGCAAAACGATCGTTGTAGTTATAACAATTTGACGTAACTGATATAGTAAAGCCACACTTTGTAACTCAGTAATATTTAGTACTGTCTCATGTTGTCAAGCGTGGTTTCAGTGTGGCTTTACTATATCAGTTACGTCAAATTGTTATAACTACAACGATNCAATTTAAATAAGATGGCAAAGTTTGTTAACTGAAATAATACACAATTTTTAGCCTTCATGGGAAATACATTTTATTTTTTCCATTTTTGCTCACGTTTGTGGTGGCCTATTTTGTTTTCAACCAAATGTTGATGACATAAATGTTTATGCTCATAAAAGTACAAATGCAATTTAGATTAAAGTAAACATATCTTCAACAAAAAAAAAGTCCATCATCTGTCATCACCTTTCAAATAAAAAAATATAATTAGACATTATAGATGTCTCTGCAATGTGGTCTCTTGTCTTCCTTGTATTATTTTTCATGTCCACTAGATGGCGATCGGTAGGATTAAAGCACTGATATTCAGGATCTAGTCATCTTGAAAAATCGTAATCTGGATCAGGCTGATCCTATCCTGAATTGCTTTGAACTCCAGGGACAACATTTGGCAGACTTGTCTGATCCTGGATCACAAAAAATGGGATTTCAAAATCGGATCGGATCTGATTGAGATTAAAAGTTTTGAACTCCCGGACCCTGATGACTCTCGCGTTTGCTATATGTGTAAATCCGTTTGATTAAATTAGTGTGTCGGTGCGGCCGTGACACATTTCCCTACATTATGATCACCAAATTATGCATGAAGAGTGAAAATTGTGGCCATCCGAGTAATAGTTGGAAGAAAAATACTCTTCAGATTTTACAGCTCCTCCCCCCTCTAGCCGTGATGTCACTCTAATGCTGCGTTCACACCGGACGCGATGAGATTTTTGGGGCGGCGCGATTACATGAAAATTCAATGCAAAGATGCGAATTCGCTCCGGTGGCGCGTTTGAGGCGATTGAAGGGGGCGTGTAACGTGTATTACAATTACATCACGGTCAAATGTTCATTTTGTTGTAGTTGTAGCCCCCTAGCCAGCGCGTCGTTTGAATGAGGAGAGTAAACGCAGATGACAGCCGCGGTGAAACTCAAGCGTTTTTAGTTGTGAACGCAGCACGAGTCTTAAGCTCTCCCATACACACCCATTATAAAATGGGAAACAGTGTGACAGTTTCACAAAACGTAAGCTGCGATTACATGAAAACCATACTAGCTATCAAAAGATATCCAATTAGTCTAATAAAGTCCATCGTCTCGAGAACCGTTTGAACTTGTAATTGTTGTTCTACGTTTCAGTGTGCGATATCTGTAGGGGGTCAAAGTGGGGTGTTTTTGAGCATTCTCCTATGGGGCAAAGGATCACAGTTTTCGGCGATTTGTGTTTCTTGTGTGTTTCGTGTCAATGCTGCCGGACGAGCAGCATGACAATATATGTGGCGCAAGAAGGAGAATAAGATGAGATAAGTATGTTGAATACTATACTGTGTGTGTGTGGCTTCGACCAGTCAAACAGAATTAGCAACATTGCTATGAGAGCAAGTCTCTAATGCCCACATAATGTAAAACATCTAAAGAGGCTTAATCTACCTGCAGATAAGAACTACAAATCCCAAACCGTTTTAAAAGTTATCTTGGGATTTGATGCAATAGTTAGGATGTTTATTTGCCTGTTTTCATAAAAATAACAACTAGCCTAACAGTTAAGAGCATAACAGTACAGGCATTTCACAATGTACAATACTGAATATAGCACATCAAAAGCAAGGAGTACACAGCTGGATAAAGGTTTTATTCATCTCTTCATATACAGTAGGTTGAGAGAGGCGTTTAAACCCAACCAACAGACTTCCCTTATGCAGAATTTGATTGATGCCAATAGGAGGTCAATATCAGATTTATGCTTAACAGGTAACGAGACAGTTTTAATGCAGAAACAGGGACAATATTATTATGCATTTTTAAATGCAGCTTTTACTATGAAGCCTGCTTACCTGGGATCAAAGCGTGGGGTAATGAGGGGCGTGGCTCCCATCATCAGAGAATAATTCCTTTTCCTTGCAGGAGTGACAAATGGATTCCTGCTCGATCTGAAACCAGACAGAGACAACTTAGTATGACATAATTGCCAACCAGATGTGAGACCAATATTGCTATTCAGTATAAAAGAGGTTCAGATAATCTGTTGTATTCATTATACACAAGCATTAAATACTTCTATAGTTTGACCAACACAACAAAGATGATTAACATATACATTTGTTTAAAATATTTTAAGAAACAATTTGGGGAAAAAATTAAAAAAGGGAAAAAAAAAAAAATTGCGTTCTTTACAAAGCACTGTATTTTTAAATGATATTGATCATTTTCCCCTAAAAGAGATTAAGAACCACTTTACCGTCTGACCGTCAGGGCCTTTGCTCTCTTTGATGTGGTTGGAGGTTTCCTTGTTGCTTTCGCCTGAATTAGGAACAAGCCGTTAAACACCAGTGACTGAACATTGCACACAAAGGACATTCCATAGCAACCACCCACTCTCCATATTTATATCAACGATGTTCTCAAACACTCAGCTGGGTGTATTCTATGCTTGCTTAAATCAAAATCATCCATTACCTTCCGTGTTGTGCCCGAGGGGTTTTCATCTTCTAAAGTGGATTTAGCTGATGTATTTGTTGCTGTGGGTTGAAGACAAAATAGTTGGGATTAAATCAACTTCAAACATTTAGTTATTGAATTCAAAATAGTTCAAATGTAAACCAAACTTTTTTTTTTGACATGCCTTTTTCGACTGATTGGAAAAGGGCTGGATTGTTCTCGGCCACAATGCTCTCAACAATAGCAGCTTCCTCTTCTCTCTGTTGGACACATTTATTAAGAACTGAATGAGTGTTTAATAGAGAAAGAGGTGAGTCTAACCATGCCAAAGAGAAACTGAACCTGCAAATCCATGATATAATAAGTAAAACAATCAACTTACACTAACATTCGCCACTTCTGGTGACTTTGGTTTCTCAGATTCTGCAAAGAAGGAAGCATTTATTTAATAAAGTTGCAATGATAAAACAATGAATGTAACACCAGTGCATATCATACGATCGTTTAACATGTTCAAGGAGTGAAAAACACCAGATCAGCAGTATTCCACATTTCGTGAATTGGGACTTTGGTTTGGTTGGACTAATATCCAACTGTTTTTGTAAACTCACTGAATTGTTCCATCCATGGCATTTGGCGGAGACACTTTGGGAGCTTAATGAGTGCCATGTTGTAGCCTTTGTCCACATCTTTCAGCAGATGGTTGAGCTTCTCTTTCATCTGATCCACTCTGGTCTTCACTGTGAAACATAACAAAATAGTTTTAGCTTACTCCACTAGTTTATAAAGAAGCTAACATTGTCTCAACATTGACAAACTACAACTTTCAAATGCCCAGTTGAATGAAAATGAACCAGTAAAGATAGTCTTATACTAGATTATCCTGATTGATCAATAATATAAGCAGATTTCATTTATTTTACCGGCATGTATGTTAACCAAAGATTTAAAAAGGTATTGCTTTACAGCAAGGTCTGAGGTATAGATAAGAAAGGAGAGAAGACTACTGCTTTCTTTATTTTTCAACTTTGCAGTGTCAGGGCAAGTACAAACAATGATCTACATTTTTTTAATGATTTAATAACATTGGTATTTTTTGTATATCGATTCAGAAAATAATTATTATCCAATATTCAATATCCACTGTTTCGTGTCAATATTCGTGTCTCCTACTTAATGGAAAAGTGGGGTTCAAACACATGTACAAAAGCATTTAACGAATCTTAGTATTAAGAGCATTTAAATCTGCTAGGTTAAAATATAAAATAACATTTTGAAAGTAGATTTACTAAGCAACATACAGCAAGCCTGTCATGGATTGCCATAAAACACTATTGAAATTGCAGTGTAAAATACGTGAAATATATAATCACCCTCGATGTCGAAGTCCTCCAGGAAGGCTTCTAGCTTAGCCGTCTTGGGGTTATTTTTCCTTGCCTTGGCCGTAGTTCTTGTTTTCCTGGGAGCCATGTCTGCATCGATAAGTAGCGGAAACAAAGTAAATGAAACCACGCTTGACAACACGAGACAGTACTAAATATTACCGAGTTAAAAAGTGTGGCTTTACTATATCAGTTACGTCAAATTATTATAACTACAACGAGCGTTTTGAAAAGAAACCGCCGACATGAAGCTAACATTAGGAAGCTAACAGTAAATGCTAACGTTACTTGTTGTGTTAGTTAGCGAGGTTACTCGTTTACCTTGCAATTCGGCTGACTTCCTTAATAGTCAGCTTCTTCCCCACGCACAAACATTTAATAACAACCCTCTCAATAATCCGTTTTGGTCATGGCGACCTCGTTTTTTAATTATTTTCTCTCTCACCTGGGAAGTTCTTCTTCGTCTCTCTTCTTACTCTTCACAAAGCCGTTTTCAAATGTCCGCGCGAGGAGGGGCCATGGGTGAAGTCAGCCAATTAAAATTCGTGTATGCTTTGCGTCATGAAAAATGGTTATCGACCAATCACAGCAGCATACGTCAGTGTTTACATCAGCAGGACGGAAATGGATACAGGCATGGTAGAAACATGGGTGGAA